AGGGCGGGCAGCACCGGCGGGTCAAAACGTGCTTGTTTCCCAGGAAAGCTTCGGCTATGAAGTGCTACACTGCCGAGCCCTACGGTGCCAGTGTCGCAGGTGACATTGTGTGTTGATAGGAAAACCAGTGACGAGCCCTGCACGGCCGGAATAGCTTATTGCAGTTTACCACAGAAAGCAAGCAACAAAAAGTTGACACTGTACTGGGTGTCAGCATTAGCACTATTTTCTACCATTGATTTAAAATGCAGAACAACTGTTACTTAGCGTGACAAAGCGACATAAAAGGAGAAGTTAAGCAATACTGACTGAGGGAAGGTCTCATACCAAACTGGGGGTGTGTGCGCCGCACCATGAATTTTTAAATCGCAGCATCTTTTCAGGTCTCCATACAACTTAATCACAAGCCTTAATTCTAAACTTAGTCTAACTTAACGGATTCATTTGAGGGCATCCTTTCAAATTTATTCTTTGCTCCTATTTGTGAGATGAGATCAAAAATCCTTCTCTTGCTGTTCTAGCACAGACTTCTGTGTCTAGAGCGTGCACTGGCTTCTCCCTTCACCCCCTAAAGATATGAACCACTTACTATGACTTAGCTCTCGAATTTTAGTAAAACCATTTCAGCAAAAGGTGTTACAGAGAAGATGAGGCCTTTGGCTCTGTTGGAAGTTTACAAGATGCACAGCATGGCAAACATGGATTCTTACTAGTAATTTCAGAAGTTATAAAAATGCCAAAAGGAAAGTTTCATGCTATGGCTCTAGGAGCTCTGCCTCTCCACCTCCACCCTTAAGATTTTGCTTTTATCTCTTTTGATATTTTTTCCTACTGAAAGTATTAAGCATCAGGGGACTGCCTTTCTCTACTGAGTGTTTAAAGACCATATGTGAGCGTGTTGCTTATCCAAATGTTTTCTCTCATTTCTCTTCCCAGCTTACCAGAGAAGATCAAGATGAGTCTACGGAAGCAAACCCCTAGTGACTTTCTAAAACAAATCATTGGAAGGCCAGTTGTCGTAAAATTAAATTCTGGAGTTGATTATCGAGGTAAGTTCTCCATCTGTCTTTCACACTGAGTAAAGTCATTGTTTGGGGAGGCTGGAACAGATGCATTGCTTTTGAAAAACAAAACAGTGAGATCCAGAATCTTGGAGTATGGCAATGTAGATCTCAGAATGGTGACATTAAAAATAGAAAATCAACTCTGGAGAAATTGATGAAAAGGAGGCTAACAGTGGATTTGGAGATTAAAATTACTTACTTAAATTATTATTGTCCTCAGTCACAGATGGTTAGACTGGGGTCTCGGGATGATTCTGAATTTCTAAACTGATATTTGTAAAGATTGGCTGGAATTACAATTCCTGAAATGGCCAGGCAGTCCCCTTTTCAGTGCTCTGATAGCAGCCCTTGTTGGAACTATCCTTTTCTTCACTTTCCTGTTCTCCAATTCCTGGTATAGACCTTGGTCCAGAAAAGCTTCAAACAGTAAACTGTCCCATCAGTCATAAGCCTACTCTCACACGAGGGATGAAGGAGTTAGTTACATTCTTGGTTAAACAACTGCCTAGACACGTGTTGGATCAAGACTCATATAGATACAGGAGAAAGCTTAGTGTGGCTTTTGCTGCTATATGCCCGGTTCATTTTAACACAGTCCAGAAGTTTTATTCCAGAACTCTTCAGCCTATCTGTATACCTTCTTGCACTGTATGTAGGATTATATTTTTTTTTAACCAGTAAATTAAACTTCTCTGTTCAGTGAAATGTCCTGGTCCTACTACCATTAGGGTAAGACTATTGGCCTGTCCTGTTTTTTTAGTAGTATCCAAATTTAATTAAAACTGTCATGTATCTCCTATAGTGCGCAATTTAGGCATTTTATTCTGGAATGATTTAAACATTGTAGTCCTGCTACAGATCACTGCTTCAGATAGGTTTAATTCAATTGGCTCAGCTTGGCACTTGTGAGAGGAGACTTGTTTGTGCTGTGACAAGGAATCTTTGTATTATGACAGTTTTAAATTGTTATTGCTCACTGACAGAGCAAGCAGTGCCTTCTTATCTCTTCCTGTTCCTCTAGCGTCTCTCAGCTGACAAAATTTGCAATCTGTCATTTCTTTGAGAAGGGCTCACGTTGTCTGAGCACTTCAGGTGGGATTGGTGGCGTAAAAACTTCACTCGGCCTTTGGCTTCTGTAAATTCTTTCTTGCAGGAGAATGTAGCGATAGCTCATTAAAGTCAATTAAAGCAAGTCATCATTTACCAAAGATACACACAAGGCAGGGCCAAATCAGATTTGGTTTTTGGATGCACTTTCTATTTTCTTTGAGAGCATTGGTACCTTCTGCTCAGTAAGATCCATTTCTAACTGCTGCAGATAAATTACTCAACTTCCCCCTCAGCAAGGCTAGTTTAACATGCCTACAGTCAGACCTACCAGGAATTGAACCATAGTTCCTTTGAACACCCTTATTTGTTACTGGATTTTTTTCCCCTCCCTTCCTTATTTCCCTCTGCTCTCCTTCCTTCCCACTTGATGTGATCCTGCGGTTAAAAACCTGTATACTGTTTTCATTTGAAAAATAGGCATTCAGTTTGTTTTCTGCAGAAATTTGACCAACATTTGTAAAAGCCAAACATTAAAAAAGCCAGCATGTCAGGCTTTTGTTGCAGATCTGTCTAGATTCTTCCTCTAGGCTGTGTTGCTGATTTTAAGTCTGTACCTCCACCCTCTGAGCCACCACACACGCAAACGTGGCCTAATACAAGTGTTGATGTGTAGCCGTGAAATGTCTTGATTCCCTGCCAAATGCTGCGCACGTCTAAGGGAAAAAGCCTTGGGAAAGTAATCAGTGATAAACTAATATATGTATGATTTCTATGTGTAGAGATGGATACGTACATTAAAACATCTCTACATATAGATAGAACAGATAAAATACTAGTCAGAATGGGCAGCGACAATATTTAATGCATTAGTGGCCTGAGAGTAAACACAAAGAAAAGGAGGAGGAAAATGAAACAACCATGAAAGCACTCTAGGAACAAAAGTTTGAAAATACTGCATTTATGGCCTACTGAGTGGTAGCTTAAGAAAATCCACACCGTCCAATTTTAATTTTGGACAAACATTTTTTTGGTTTTTTATTGTTACGTGGAGCAGTCAGGATTACTGGAGTGAAAGAGAGTTCTGACTTTTGTTTGGTTTGGGTTTTTTGGTGCGTTTAGTAACACTTTGTGAGCAGGCAGTTTTTCCTATTTGTGTGGAAGTGGGAAAGAAAAACTTAAAGGAAAATAATAATCCTTAAACCATTACAAGTTGGCAGGAGAACTCGAATTCCTGATTATTTAGTGGAAGATACTACAGTAACACTTCTGAAAAATGAGAACATGTCCTAGAGGACATGACTCAGACTGGAGTTCTCTTCTCCTCCGCAAGTACAGCCAATACACTATATTTCAAGTTTTAATGCGAGGTAAATAAATTAGGTGTTTTTCAAACAGAGGAAAAAATTATTTTAGTAGTATCATCTCTGTGTGCAAGGATGAAGTCAGGAAAACACACATGCAAGATGGAGATAATTAATACAGCTTTTTACAAGTAGTTTTATGTGCACGATTAACAAGTCAGATTGCATTCTCTGAGCAATTCTTTACATGTGTTAATCCCCACATTCAGTTCCTTACATGAATAGTCTGTTTGTTGATCAGGCAAGTTAAATTTGTAGACGGCAATGGTTCTGATCTTAAGTGTGGGTGTAGAGGCTGAGGAGTGATTTTGAATGAAAAAATGCCATCATGCTGCCAGCACATAGGAAGCACTGTGTGAATAAGGTACAACCTTCAACAGGGCCTATGAGAAGTGGGCACATAAATGCTTGTCTAAAATCAGTGCTACTCAAATGCATATTTTCCTGATCAAAAGAATATCTAATATTACAAATGGCAGAGACTTTTTCTTGAGTTGCATTAACTAAACAGTGTAATTTTATTTTTGTGGGAAGATTTCAGTGTCATTTGAAAACCCTTTGCCTGTTGAAAATGATGTAGAATTTTGTTTACATCAAAACAGAGACTTGCAGCCAATGTTCTTCTAGATCTGCAAGCATGAAGATAAATATGAAAAAGTGTGTATGGTGTCCTGTATTAAAAGGGTTGTTTTTCGGCTATATCCTTCACAAGTTTTGATGAAAACTCAATTTACATAGCCTTGTCCTTAGGTTATCCAGTTACACTGAATGTCACAGGTTCTTTTCAGGTGTGTGGCTTAAAACACAAGTGAGAAGAGACAACTTAAACTTTCAAAGTGGAAATTGTCAATCTTGAAAGTCATGCCTTAATGACTTCTTTTTTCCTCCCACTCTTACATCAACTGATAAAGTTGCTACTAGAGTGCCTGGGGTTCCTCACTCCCAGCTTAATTCTTTGAAGAATACTCTGATCTACTGACTCATCTGGCCAAGCCTGGGCTTTTAGTTTGTTACGAAGATACAGTTTTTTCAGTACTATTCAAACACAATGCATTTTTGTTTATTTTAAAATAAGTTTAAGCTGATTCACTTTTAAACTGTCACTGTTTTCAGGTGTCCTGGCTTGCCTGGATGGGTATATGAATATAGCTCTGGAACAGACGGAAGAATATGTAAATGGACAATTAAAGAACAAGTACGGAGACGCATTTATCCGAGGAAATAATGGTAACTCCTCTTTATGTTAATGCTCATTAGAGGGCTGTGATTTGATATTTATTTCTGAATTTGAGGAGTGGCTGAGGTGTAAGCAAGCTGCCTGTAAGAATATTACTTTTAGGCTTTCTTGCAAACCTTAACATACTTACTTTTTACAGTTTCACTTTTCAGTGTCTGTGCTTTTCTGCATTCCTGTGGTGCTTTTTGCCTCTGAACTTGAAGTTCATTTAGAGAAGCATGCTCTTTTCTAGCCTTCCTTAGAGCTTCTGTCCTGTCATTTGACAGGTTTACTCTTTTGCACTTACTGCCTGCTTAGATGGCCTCTGCTCCATAGAAGTTTCTGTGTTTTGCTAGGCAAACTACTGTGTAAATTTATGTTCCAGTACAGATGTTGATGACACTGTAATGTTTTCTTGTGATGCAGTTGTCCAGACCTGAATGAATGCTGTTCATTAGTACTGGAGGCTATTTTCATGAGTAAAGATTTTACCACCAGTCAAGAAAATCACTTGTACTTTACTATTGAGCCTTTGAATATCCAAGTGCAATAGGTGGATTTTATTGCACTTCAAGGACAATCCCAGGCTCCTGAAGTGACTCTGTGGCATCAGATAAGCTGTAATAGCAGAACATGCCAGGGAGAAGAATATCTAAAAATAGAAAAGGTTCACAAGTCAGATGTGAAGAGACTTGTAAAGATGGTAAATGAAGAGTTTGACCAAGTTACTTGAGAAGAAAATGGAGGACAGGAAGGAGGGAGGGAATAAAAAGGAACAAAAACTGAATTCCATATTACAAAAAGAGTCAAAGAGAATGTGGCACCAGTGTGAAAGAGTTTTAGAGTGTTCTGGGAGGAGAAATAATCTTTGAATGAAGCCAAATGCTTTTTGTGAGGAATTTGGGTTATTATGCTAAGGAGTGCAGTGACATTGCAGCTGGAGAATCAATTATGGAAATGCAAATCTATTATAAAAGTTAAAACAAATGGATGAGAGGCAGGAGGCTGCAGAACAGGCTGAGCAGAGAACTTAAGACATCCCAGGTTTAGGAGCATGATGCAGTTTCATCTTGTGCATGGATCCATTCTGGGGATATCACCAGCCAAGCAGGTGAAAGATGTCTGCTGCTTCATAGGTAATCCTTAGCTTTGCCTTTAAGTGCTTGCGATTTCCAGGTTTTATTGAAAGATCATAGCATTAATGTCTGACACCCATAATTCTGCTGCTTAGAAACTCTCTCATGTTCCTTCCCCTCAGTAACGTTGCAGGGTAGCAGGCTTTACTCTCCCTCTGTTCAGCCTGCATCTGCTGGAGTGTAGCTTGGCTATGAATCTAGTAAATACTGAACCAAAGTAATACATAATGTGTAAATTTGATAGCATTTCTTGAAACCTGGACTTAAAAATTTCCTGACTTTGTTCATGCTGAATGGGATTCATAACACTGTTACAAGCCATGGAAAAAAGATGTTTTAAATAAACAGGCTTCTGCACATTATTTACCAGGGCCCTCTTATGTGTGCCGCTTTCTCCTTTTCACAGTATTGTACATAAGCACACAGAAGAGGAGGATGTGAAGATGCCAGAAGGAGGCTGTTTTGTACTTCTGAACCTCTTCGAAGTGATGAGTTCTGTTTGATTTGTAGCTAATAATCCACAGGTGAAATACACAAGTGTTTAAATATTTTTTTTAAATAAATGTAAACCAGTGTAAACTTCCTGAATGTTTTTGTTTCAAAGCATCGCTTTGTTCCACTGTACAGAAAATAATAAAAGTGAAGCATATAATAGTGCTGCAAGACTAATTCAAAGCAACAGCTCATTTAATTTTGCTAACAGTTACAGAAATACAGATTGGGAGGTAAGCAGGCATGGAGTAATTGCAAATTACAGCCTTGTATTGATGGCAAAACAATAGTTTAACTGATGTTGGGAAGGGAAATGCTAATGTTTTGGTGACAATGACCTGTCCCTTTTGGAAAACACAGGGTCAGTTTTAAATGCCAATCTAGTAAGAGTCATCGGGTAAAAAGTTCAGCTGTCCAAAAAATCTTGAATTGTGGATTGAATCAAGGGATGTAACAGTGACACTTCAACAGTTAGGGGTGGGGAAAGAATTGAATCAAATGGAAGAAAAGCCCTAAGGGTGAAAAGAAGGCTCTGTGCCATCTGAGGAAGTCAGTCACAGGTGAAAAGCTCTCAGTTGGTATGCCAACACAGCTAGTAGCTGCTTCACCTCCTGCCTCTTTACACCCCACCCTACCTCAGCTTGCAGTTACCTTTTTTCCCTGCATCTCTACCAAACACAATGGACTTCTTCAGTAAAAAGCAATTTTAACTAATATCTAAAGCTACTCCTGAAAACAGACTAGGAATCTAAAAGCTTTTGTAAACATGCCATATATATCCTCTTCAGACAGTTCACTCTTTCTCCCATCCATTTCCCCCCCAACCTAGTACCATATATATATTCTCTTTCTTTATCTGCTAGCCAGAAATGAGGACAAATACATTAAGCTTATAGTATGGGGTATGCATTAGGGAGGGGGAACCTCTGTGCAGGCAACGGAGTCAAAACTTGTTTGTTTATATTTTGCAACAACGATCCCAGATAATCAAAGCCCAGTGAGTAAATCCAGCTCAGTTTTACATGGATACTTATACCAATTTCTAAAATATCTTTTCTCCTTTTATATGCAGTCAGCCAAGAAAAAAAAAAGCTGAACGTTCAGATATTTCTTAGTCTGAGTGTTACTGCACTTAACGTCCAGATACTCAGAGTGTTTTCTTGTTCCTTGGGACAAAGTTATAAGTTAGGGTAATGTACCTCATGGTGAGGTTATTTAGCCAATTTTTTAAAATGAGTTTTCTGAAGCCCTGCTTTATTCTTTGGGCAGTTTACAGTGCCTCCAGGAACAAAAATACTTCTACTTGTGGATGGATGAACACAAGATAACTGTGTGAATGTAACATTGGCCCATTCTTTCCAAGTACCAGTAGCTCTAATGCAAGCAGGAAATAGTAACATTTCAGTTACCCAAGGGAGAGAATGTGGGTTGCAAATTTTTTTTTTTTTTTTTTTTTAAGATCAAGGAATAATTCTAAGTTATTTTGCAATCAGTAGTTAACCTTTCCACATTAAACACTTCAGAAGCCACTACAGAACACAGAAATAGAGATGCTACTTTATAATATGCTTCAATAATTTATCATTTTCTGACAAGGGTTGAAAAGGGTCCAGGATGCAAGTACAGATCACCAACTTGCTCTTCTGTAAGTGACTTCTTTTAAAAAAAGGAAGACATAACTCCAAGTGGAGCATGCAGTTTCTCATTTGTTTTTTCATCTATATGCAGCTGGCAGATTACTGTGTGCTTTCATTCCTGGGGACTGTCTGGGTTTGGTTTTTTTTTTATTTTAATACAGGGTTAGTTTTTTTCCCCTTTCCTTCTCCACCTTTCTCGCCTCCTCCACCTACCCATCTATAGCAACACATTTTGCACAGACTTCGATTTACTCTCAAGAGTTTGCATTGCTAACTTCTTAGCTGCAGTTCTGTTTCTACAAGTCTAGTTATAGAACATTTTTCTGTTCTGATCTGCTACTTCAGATGGTCTAATCACGTACTAAACTCTGAACTTAGAAAATACTATGTAGTTTACATGCTGAGGGTTTTTTTAATGTATTCTAGATCATGAAGTCGCTATTTACTATGTAAGGTAGATAGGAAAATTTGCGTTAAAGATGAGCTGTTGTAATTCATATTCAAATTTCAAAAGTAGCTAAAGAAATTAAACATTTAATTCCCACAATCACTGACCTTTATGTACGTTTTACAAGATTTTTCCCCCTTAATTCAATTTTCAGCCCCTGTGTTTAAATCAAGTGAACATTTAAGCTTGACTTCAGTTAGGCAGTCCAATGTTTGGATGTTGTCTGTTTTGAGTTGGATAAAACATTCATCTTGGATTTATTTTACTTATCTTTAGATTTTGTTTTGACTTAATATATCCTGTAGGACAGCATACCAGTTACAATTAAATCAGACACTGGCCAGACAGCTTTCAGAATAGCACATGGAACACTATCCAAAGTTTAAGTTTTAAGGTGAGGCATCCCATTATATCTGTATGTAAACGTCAAAGTAGAATGGCGTATTTCACAAACTCTTGGTGCTTAAAAATGACTCAACCTGATTTATAAGATCTTTATCCCATTGGAAGATACAAATACACTCTTACAAATGCAATATATCTTCACACGCAAAAGGCTGTATTAGATACTAATGCTCATGTCCTTCATATTACCTCATTTACCATATCCTAATGCTCTTGCCCCAGTACCTGTGTATAAAACGGTTTTACTTGTGGATCAAGCTCGTCTAAATCAGGACTGACAATGAAACTTTCCTTGAACAACTTACAAGCGGTGTCCATCACTTGTCTTAGAAGAATGCACCCAAAATTAAGTAATCCAAAACTAACAAACAAAAATTAATTGAATTTCAAAGACTAAAGCTGCATTCACATACATAGTTGTACTCTTATGCAATGAGATCACTTGATGAAACCAAGGCCGTTCAAACACTACCCCACCCCCTTCCATGCACTCAGTTTACAGACCGACCCTAGGAAGAGCAGTAACTCTGGATTTGCTATATCCCCACATCCACTGTAAGTTTCTTGCACTTGAAAAGACAAACTAAGCCACATCTCCTTAAACAAAAGCCTGGCTGAGAGCAGCAGCGCAGCATATCCTGTGGAAACTAAAGAAAGCAAGTCTGGAAGAAGGAGGTGAGTACTCACTGCGTGGTGGGGCAGCCAAAAGCCAGGTTACTACTAAAGCCTGCAGTGCCCTGGAGTGCCCCTATATAAAGGGAGCGGAGCATGCTAGGAAAGTTTTGCTTTAAAGGTATACACTGATGACCACTCAGTTTTACAATTTGTTGCCACCTGGTTCCTAGTTCAAAAGGAATCTAACGCAAACCACTCTGCACATTATTTATTTGAGTTCTTTCTATCTTTTTCACGACGTTACAATGACAAAACAGCTGCCCAGAGCCCTTCTGGGTATGTCTTGCCCATTAAGTCCCAAGGCTCATACCCAGCTCCGAAAACCAGCTGTGCCCCACAGCTGCAGGTTTTGGCTGTGGTGTTCGCGGTAGTCAAGAAAGCGTGAAAGCGTTCGCAAAGTGACGGCCTTCGAATGTTTGACTGATGGTACCAAAGCAATGCCTGATCTTTAATATGCCAACCCATGTCCGCGGCCAGCTCCAGCCCCATGTCGGTTTTGAAAGCAAACAGACTGTGGAGCCAGCAGTCTCAGGTTCCTGTGCCAAACTTCTCCAAGGCTGAGAAATCGGACGGGAGGAGGCTTTTCCTGAGCTGCTGTATTGATCCTGACCGAGGGACCCTTGAATGTTTAGGAGTCAGTGATCCACGCAGCAGCTTCAGGCGGGGCTGGGCTGCACGCCCAGCGTGGCTTTCAGGTCTCCGCTGGGCTGCACGGACCCCTTGGCCGCAGGATGCTTCTAGCAGCCTCATCATAACGGCGGAGCTCGCGGGCAGCTCCCACTCAGTACCGCAATTGCACCACCTGCCTGGCCTTGCCTTTATCTAACGGAGCAGCAACAAGTTCTCATGAGAACATCCTTTAGAAAGAGGGTTGTTTCCTTGTAAGGAAATTATAAAATAGCTCAAATAATGAAAAGGGAGAGCAGCTCTCCACGACGGGGTTGCATCTGCTCTGTGCAGCGCACTGTGGGAAAATCCATCTGGGCTCTGTCCGATTCTACGTGAATGTGGGGTGCCCAGCATCTGAAGGGATGTACAATTTACTTGCTATCTGTATTCCTCGCCTTATTCTGTCTTACTAAAGCAGTCATTAAGCTATTTGTTGCTGGGCCTTTCTTATTGAGATCCAGAAAGAGCCCTGCACCATATCTCTCTCTCAACCCTCTCCTCTTCTGCAGAACAGCTGCCCAGGTTGCAGTAGTTACCAAATAAAGGGTTGTTTTGGGGTTTTTTAGGCTGAATTTGTAAGGGAAGGAGGCTCACGTTATATGTTGCATGTGTGTGTATGTGTCAGTTCATTCCCAGCAGTAACATTTGAATCCACAGTCACACTTCAGTAAGTGTGATAGAGGAAGAGCAAGAGTAGTCAACTGGATAGAAATGGAAGGACCTGCCAATACTTTTGCCAACCTTCCACCTAACTAGATATCAAACATCCCCTTTTCCCTGGTCTCCCCAAACACAGAGCCACAGACATACACAGGTCAACCCTGAGATGCCAGTTTGTAGGCATTGTTCTCCGTTCTCCCTGTGGGACTACAATGGGTTTTTACCACTCTCCTACTGTGGGTTTTTAACTGTTCTTCTCACAGTTGGCCACTGCTCTTTGTTTAAAGATGACCTGAAATATTCTTAAATAAGATGGTGCTACCAGCTTTATTGGTTTAATGATCAGGTCCTTGTGATCTGGACTCAACTGTTGCCACTTTCAAGCTCTCTACTTGATCAACCTGCCCACCCTCCCCAAACTTTGTTCACAGGACTCAGGTGGCCGCTAGCTGACCAGGAAGGACTTCTGACTCGTTATAACCCTTATTATCTTGCAGTAGCAAAGCATTTCTCAACCTGTCAATGAAGCAACCAGCTTGCTCTTGAATGTCAGCTCTGGGTTGCTTACATCCATGCCCATATTACATACTGATCTCCACTGCACCTGCTCCATGTCTGCTGTCCCTGTTGTGCCCCTACGATGCGGAGATGTAGAAGCAATC